GTCTCTTGTACTGCAGCTACTTCTGGTGTATTGTACCTGCCCCAGGTGATAGTGAGGGTGATAGTGGAGCAATTGGTGGAATGAAGATTAGCAAGGGAAATTGAAGTGCTCGGAGAAAACCTGCCCCAGTGACACTTTGTCCACCACAGATCCCGCTTGACCAGACCCTGGATCAAACCTGGGCCACAGCAGTGGGAAGCCAGTGACTAACTGCTTGAGCTATGTCATGGCCTAAGTAAGTAGTCAGTACCATTGATAGAAGTGCGTTTCTGTGAAGCTCCTGTGCCATTTCTCTGTGTAAAAATCAAGTTTACCTTTTGATATTGGACACATCAGTCAATTTTCTACACAAAGCCCCAGATAATCTGCTACTGAACAATCATGAATCTACTGTAATTATAATGGATCAACTGTGTCCACCACTCAAAGAGACAGCGAAAACGATGCAGTAATGAAATTAATGAAGTTCTTACTTCATGAATGTGTTCTGGGCGACATACAGGTTCTGATATTGCTATCAGAAAGTCATGAGCATGTTTATACACTGGAGAAAATGACTCCAAGAAAATATGTCCATTAGGAGCCTGAAATCAAAGCACTTTTTCAATTTCTTGATCTTTTACACACTTGGTAGGACTCCTTGGATAGGGGCTCAGCCCATCTCAAGGCTGCGACCTGCACACACAGGACAACAGAAACAGAATAAATGCATACAGACATCGATGACTTGTGTGGAATATGAACCCACGATCCCAGTGTTTGAGTGGGCAAAGGCAGTTCATACCTTAGATGGGGCGGCCACTATGATCAGCTATTAGGCTCTTAAAGGGTTGTTTTCTGAGGGTAAGGGGCTTGGAGAAATGACTCATGAGTGAATGAATGGGAGGTGCAGCAGTGTCATGAGATTCAGACTAAGGACACAGTGGGCCTTTAAAGGGCCTCTGACCTCTACATCAGCCCATTTGTGATCTGTCCTAGAAACAGCCCTAGTCAAAAAGAGTCGCTATTCTTCATTCCGTTACCATTCATATAACATCATTCTTTTATATTTTTGTAACATTTGAAAACACGCCCATAGAGAATGATAACATTTTACACAATTACAATCGCTGAACTGGTGAATTAATTCAGCTTCACATCGATTCACAAGAACATTCTGCAAAGCAAATGAGTACATTGTGTAAACTTGAATATTGTACTGATTCTTATTCGTCCTTGTGCAACTCAATCAAAATCCACTTACCACCCACAATGGCCGTGACTCATGGTCGGTCTTCAGAATCATTTGCAACCGATAATCTTTGGCTCCATACTCATCTTCAGCAACACCTTGATCTTCTGATTCAATGTTCTTCTTGGCAGCACTAGGAACTCCCTCTACAACACGTACAAGTTAGATTTTGCGAGATCTGAAGTCTTAACAACTGTAGCTACGAATCTGCATTTGTGTGGATTATCGTACATTGGTGTTAGTGGCTATACTGCATAGACTACATAATATATGTTCAAGCTAGCCTCGAAATATGATCTGACGCATGTGTGCATTACTTATGGATCCTGAAAAGTAACTTGCCTCCATCCCCCCCATCCACCGGTTCTTCTTCCGCATATATATAGTCTTCATCATCTCTTTTACGCTTCTTCCATTTCTTGCTATTGTCTGCAATCAATGACAAAAGCTCAGATTACAAATATCTTCAAGAATAAGAAACAAACAACAATAATGACTACTAATATAGTTTTGTTAGTCACTCTTGCTGTTAGGAAAAGGTACCTCTAGATTATTACAATTGTGCTTATTCTGTCATATTGCCTTTCAGGAACTTTTCAAGTTGATAGCAAGTACAACATTAAGTGAGCTCATGATATCAAAGTAAAAGTGGATCAATAAAGGGGTTCTCTGTGGTAACTGCAGTTAGATATGGAAACTGTCAAATTTTTATGCTCAAATTCTAAAATTATTATTCCACTAGTAAATAATCATTATGACACACAATGATGATAAACAAAATTCAGAAGGGGACCACTAATAACAAAAAGTGAATGTAATTTATCCTTGGAATTCATCCTTAGTACTGAACTAATGAAGCCATCATGCTGTCAAAATGTGTGGCTGCATAGGAGAAAGAGCTTACTGTCCCATACTACTGAGCCTACCTGTATGTATAAAGCAATACAATAAAACAAAGCAGCCAGTAAGAAGTCATCAAAGGCACATTTCAGCTGCCAAGATACATTAACAATTTTAGGGTACAGAACCTGGACTATAATTACTGCTCTCTTTTAAACCTTACACAGCACATCCACCAAACATTCTTCTTCAGTCATCCTTCAAGATATACCCAGTGTGAATCTAATACAGCTTGGGTTATTTCATGACACTGACAGGAACCAGACCACACAGCAAACATTTCATGGCACGCTTTCCCTCATGAATAGGATGTGTTTCTCTTCAGTCTTTAAAGGCACATGTCATAAAAGCAACAAGGCAGGGAAAAAGCACCACAGTACTTGTATAACTTAAACATTTCATATACACTGAAGAGTGAGTGAAAGATTCATTGAGAATAAAGGGGAAATTTTATATACCACACAGTTCCCCTATTTAATATGTAAGAAGGCCAATATGCATCAACAAAATTATTTAATTTATATGGGCTATCTTGGGAGGTATGTGGCAGCGTAGTTGCTTGAGGCACTATGCCACAAGGTCATGGGTTCAACTCCTGATATCATAGGATTTTCAATTGACCTATTCCTTTCACCTGCACTATGGCCCTCGAGTTGATTCAGCATCTAACAGACATGAGTACCAGGAATCTTCCTGCGGATAAAGGACGGCTGGCATATAAGCTGACAATCTCACTTCCATCTGTGAGCCTTGATGTCTCGCTACTCTATGGCCCACCAAGACCCGTTACAGGAATAACTTCATTTTTATTTATTTATGTCGACAGTCTTGAAGCCACGACTCCTTGTCATGCGCCTAAGACTGTCTCTGTGCTGTGGTGTCACTTCTTCATAAATATCACTTCTACAACACATTAAGACCTTATCCATTCATCATATGGTGTGTGGGAACTGCCTACATTCAAGCAAGTGTGACAACACAAGCTTCATTGCTTATCAAAGATGAGTAAACAGCAGTTGCTAGGCAAAGCCCACAACAATACAGACAGTGACTGGTTTTCTATATGTCCAACTCTAGGTTACATAGAGAGTTACAGTTACAGTTCTAGATTGTTGTGGGCTTTGCCTAGCAACCACTGTTTACTTGTCGTTGCTAAGCAATGAAGCTTGCGTTGTCACACTTGCTTGAATGTGGGCAGTTCACACAGGTGCATACTACTGCATAACTACTTTGCTGTATTGTTTTAGTTCATTATTCCAAAAAAAGGGCGTTACAGTGAAGCAACTGCATAAAAGCCTATATGTGATGACTACAATACACGGTTGCAACGTTGCAGAAGTGACACTTATAAAACAGCGACGCCATACCACATCGGCTGTCCACGAGCACACGACATTGCACCTACAAGCCTGTCCACGCAATTTAAACCATTAACCAGTGCATTTCATTTCATTTATTCACCTTCCATAAATCCTGTCGAGAGTACGTTCTCATGTGGATGTGGAGATCGTTGTCACCCAATAGCATGCACATTTGTATAAAATACTGATAAACATATACAATATAATAAATAAGTTAATTTTAGTAGTAAAAGTAATGGCAAACCTTACACAATTTGTACAGTTTTATGCAAGTCTATTAATTAAAAATTCAATAGTTAAAATATGTCATTAATGAGTTTTGTATAAATACATTAATCTATATAATAATTTGAAATAAAGACTAGTATACAGTAATATAAAAATTGTGTATATCTAAAATAAGCATCTAAAAAAAAAGAACACAGACTGACAACCTTGTCTTCTAATTGAAAAGCAAGACAACTAACTACTCGCACCTTAAAATGATTTATAACCAAAATATTCCTGTAAAGAATAAAAAGAATGTAAATATAAAAACTGTTTTAATTGTATCTCAAAACTCTTGGTGTCACTCGATATATCCTTAATATATTGTGGCAAAAAGATGGATGCTGAATTTTAATATTACGCATTAACGAAAATAAAAATGTGGCCCCCCCCCCCGGGCATTTCCATCGTCATGCGAAGGAAAAGCACTGATTAAACTTTCTGAAAATCATGTAAAAGCAAACACTGTCACCTGATGGGTCTCACACTTCTTCCCTAAATGCAATCCCCACAAACCTCATTCGAATCTATTTAACTCTAGATAACCTAACCTCAGACAAACTTCATTCCCTTGCACGGAATGCGAAATTGTTAACAACGTTGAAATAAACCCTACCGTCTTTCTTTGTCTTCTTTGGTCCTCCCATATATAGCTTTATACTCGTAATATTTAAAAGTTATGTTTTAAGAGGTTACATTGGTGAGAATATATTGCATGACACATGCCTTTTCCTCGACCACGAAAACCCATAACGTTACATATATACACACTCCCGATTCTGAAAGTTACACATCGAACACAAGCACACCGACCAGGATGGGTGGGAAACATGGCCGCCATGACACCACGGGGCAATGAAGCTACCATCTCTACGCAACCTACATAAACTAAATTTAAACTGGCCGACAAGACCTAGAGCACAATCAGTAAGAAGATATGCGAACATGGCAACTATTTTGAGCGATCCCCCGCAGTGCTTTGTTCCCTAGAATAGGAATAAATAAAACCAGATCTCTTGTACTGCAGAGGTCCCCCCACCAACCCAGTTCTATTTTAGAACTGTGTTCAATATCACTAGTCAAGGAGGACGAGATGGGCAGGACATGTAGCACGAATGGGGAGAAGAGGAATGCATGTAGGCTATTCGTGTGAAAGCCACATGGAAAGAGATCACTGGGAAGACCAAGACGTAGGTGGGTGGACAATATTAAAATGTATCTCAAACAGATAGGATGGGATGGTATGGATTGGATTGATCTGGCTCAGGATAGGGACCAGTGGAGGCCTCTTGTGAACATGGTAATATACTATGGCTTCCATAAAATTCCGGGAATTTCTTGAGTAGCTGCTAAATTGATGGCTCCTCAAGAAGGGTTCACCTCCATGACTGAGTGAGTGAGTGGTACTGCAGAGGAATTTATGTCGTCGTTAGGGTTAGAACATGTATATAACAATTCTCACTTCCCCTTCATTCATCAGTTAAATGTGCTCCAATACTGAACACCATAAAACAAACTAATATTCAAAAGCGTATAACCGCTTCCCACTGTTAGGGTTAATGCTGACGTAGCTGCACGCTGAAAGATACCTGGTAGCGACTTCGTAGATTTACACGTTGATGTAGCCTCGTTTGATGATCATTTGTTTAGACGTTCTCTTACCTTAGAGATATCCTTCGCAGAGGCTGCTGAAGTTAGATCAGCCTATAGTTACTGAAGGGGAAGCAAAGTGCCCCAACCAACTACGATACGGCGTGCCCCTCGTATCTAAGGCAACCAGTGAAAATACATGTCAACGTAAATACTGCACCGTGTAGTACCGTTGCTATGCAACGATGACGAGTAGGAACACACATTGTTTGGTAACGGCCGATAAACACGTCAACAATATCCGGGCTATCACTAGGCAACCGGCCATAACAATAGGAAAACTGTTGGATACGGTGTTTTCTGTTGGGTCCGCCACGAGGGTATATAGCGAGACGCCAGACCGGGGCTTGTGTTGTTCGTTTCAAAATTTTACAAAGTCAAGATGAGAGATTATATGATTTTTCTCTTNGGCCGGGTGCACACCAAGGAAACTCGCAACTGAAACGCAACCGCGATTTCCGAGAAGTGTTATCAGCCTCAGTTGAACACATTTTAGTAAATGGGACAGCGCTAATTGTGGAAACGGAAGCGCTACTTGCGGGGAGACTGAGAAACTCAATTTCCAGGCAACGGAGAATGCCAGTCTTCACACGATTGAGTTCGATTGAGTTGCCGCGTGTATTCTTAGAAATCAGCTATTCTGTAACGCGCAGCAGTGATTCGTTTGTTTTTCTAGGATGGCACGAAAAATTGATGAACCTGCCAAAGGTTTTGTGTGGAGTTAATTGAGCAAGACCTCACCATAGAGGAATATTATTGTTGGAAATAAAGACTTAGATTTTTGCATTTTATTGCTGCTGTTCCATTAAAGGAACGTTGTTTACACCGTCTGTGCAATTGTCTACAGAGCAAATAATTAGGGATATGATTGGATAATTGTGACTGAGAAGGAGCGTGAAACTTATGAAAATGAGGTCCTTGTTGCGAAGTTGTTGACTGAAGTAAGGAATAAGAGAGTTTTAGTAGCAACAAGTACAAATACATTGAAGAAAGCAGTCTTCTGGGATTTGGCACCGTGTATATGTGGTGTTAACCGACGTTTCGGAGGAACGTATCGCCTCCATCTTCAGGGTAGAAGAAAAAATATAAGAAATCTGCAAGCTAAGAGACCGTGAGAACCGGTATACCGGTATATACACGGGGATAAGTCAATAAGTAAGTTACAAATGGATATAGAACTTAAATATGTTTTAAGGCCCACTTGAGATGATGTGAACAACTAATCGAGCCTCAGTGTGTACCAGCTAATCAGGAAACCAGTTGCCTCTTTCAATTTAAGGACATTTCTCGGAAATTGCAGTTGCCAGTTTCCTTTGTATGCCCTCGCCTTTACAGACGGTAGGACTCCTTGGACGGACAATGAGCTCGTCGCAAGGTCCCTGTCTAAACATTGGACAACACAAACACAGAAAAAACGCATACACACACGAAATATCCATGCCTTGGGTGGGATTCGAACCCACGATCCCGGCTTCCGAGCAAGCGAAGACAGTACATGCATTTGACCGCTCTGCTACCGTGACCGGCTAGGTGTTCTTTTTTTTAATTCACTTAGTGGTGGTGGAATTCATCTGGGTCCACTCGGCACGGTGGCCTCTCATTGGCCTATTGTAGCCTGCCTCGGGTGATTATGATGATGGAGAATTTGGTGGAATGAAGTTTGTAAGGGGAAACCGAAGTATTCGGAGAAAACCCGCCCCAGCGCCACTTTGTCCACCACAAATCTCACTTAACGAGACACGGGATCGAACCCGGGCTGCCGCGGTGGGAAGCCGTCGACTAACCGCTGGAGCTATGGAGGGGCCTAGATCGCCTAGATGGTATTTAGTATGCGCTAGTCTGTCTGTGGTAACTTATCCGCGGTGATCCGTGGTATGGACCGGAAGAGGCGGAAGCGGCGGTAGGCATCGGTACGCGCCGTGATTGAAGTATACTTCTGTATGTGAGGGATGTTTCGGTATGTCAATCTTGAGCCAAAATGCAGATGTAGAAGACGACTGTCTCTTTGAAGCATATCTTGACAGTGTCAAAAATATTTCTGTTCTTCTGAAAGCTGTGAATTTTAAAGATGTATGTATGGCTGTGGTACTAAGCTTTGTATGTGTATTACTGATGTGTCGTACAATTTATGAGGTTGTGTCACTTGAAAATTACTCGTGTTGACAGGGTTTGTCCTTTTTTAGAATGGTATATGTTTTGCAACCGACAAGGGCCTGAAAGTGACCGTAGAAGATTCGAAATGTGTCCAAGCCAGTGCATTTATTCAAAGAGAAGTTTTTCAAGTACGTTGAATTTTGCAGTTACTAGAGCAGTGTTTCTCAACCGCCGGTCCGCGGCCCAGTATTGGGCTCTCGTCTTATTTTATTTTTCTTTATTTTTTTTCCTTGACACTACAGCCCCAGTGGGCCTAGGCCTACCTTCATGAACCTTCTCCGTTCACTTCGGTTTTTCTAGAGCTTAGAAACACGGTAGGACTCCATGGGCGGGTGATCAACTCGTCGCAAGGCCTCTACCTGTACACAAACAGAAAAACGCACACAAACATCCATGCCCTGAGTGGGATTCGAACCCACGATCCCGGCTTCCGAGCAAGCGAAGACTGTGCACGCCTTAGACCGCTCGGCTACCGTGACCGGCCTCGTCTTATAGAAAACAGAATTTACCGGGCCACGGTCTGACAAAAGTTGATAACCACTGTATTAGAGTAATTTAGGCATAGAAGATATTCAGTACTAACATGGATGCCTTTTGAAGATGGAGATTGTAAGAATCTCCGAATAGTATAATTTTTATTGAATGTGGGGTTTTCACAACAGTGACTATGAAGAGTATCATCTTCTGGGATGTAACACCATGTAGTCTGGTAGGCGTTTGAGAGGAGCATATTCCTCCATATTGATGGTCGAAGAATAAGCGAAGGTCAGCAAAAAAAGAAACTCACTTAAGAAGAATCATGTCCCAGAAGATAGTATCTTTCATAGTCATTGCTGTGAGAACCTCAAATCCAGTATACAAGGAATTTATATGGATTAGTAAGTTTAATCGCTATTATTTCTATTACAACATTTACTAATGTTACAAATAAATTTAAACCATCTCATTACTTTTAATACTAGTGAATTAGAGCTGATAGGGATTAAGCTAGGGGCACGCGGTAGCATAGTTGATTGAGGCACTGCTACAAGCTGGTAGGTCGCGGGTTCAAGTCTGGATAAAGTAATGTTATATTTTAGCATCCTGTTGCACTGATTTAAGTCCATGATTTATTTAATCATTTTATTTTAACGTTTGACAATGTATATGATAGATACATATTTTAGTTATTTTAATGTGTGAACATGGCATGCAATGAACTGGTTTGATGCGGATAAGTAAGCACCTGAAGATGGCATTGTTATGCCGAGGCATGTAGTGCGAGGGAGAGAAGGAGTTAAATGAGTGTATGCACTGCAAGACGGATTAAATAAATCATGGACTGGATAAGGTAATTGGATTTTTTCAATTGACCTAATCCTTCCAGCCGCACTATGGGCCTGTTGTCGACTCAGCCTCTAACAGAAATGAGTACCAGGAATATTCTTGGAATATTCTTGGGGGTAAGGGCAGCCAGCGCATAGGGCTGACAACCTTGCTGCCATCTATGAGCCGATTGTCTAGAAAATGTGGGAACCCCAACATCTCAACCACATGGGCCTCCACGGCCTGTTACGAGGATACCTTTACTTTTTCACTTAGCTTACTAATCCAGTAACTGACTTGACCTATATCATGTAACAATGATCTATAGAGATGAAATAAATAAATAAATATGATTTGTTTTATCTGATTTTGAAAATTCCAGAACTTACAAGACACTACAAAATGTTAAATTTTATTAATGTTTATATTAAATATGAATATTTATGTAAACCTAGTTGCTTATAGGTAGATGACCCAGAGGATAGCCAGAGGGTTCAGACATGTTATGTAATATATGATATATAATTTGTTGTATTTTATGGTAAATGTGTTTGTGATTTTTTTAAGTAACCCAGTTTATTACCAGATTCAAATATGTTGCAGAAGTATGATATGAAATGTGCCAAAACAAACAAATATTTATTTTAACTTCTGCATTAACCTGTTTATAAGTAGTATAACAAAAAAAAAACCCCCCCTCTCTGTTCATATTTTCTGTCATTCTGTCATTTTTCATTTTGTCTCAGCAAGTCTGGGAAACCTCTCATCTGTTCTCTTAAAAACCCCCACTGGGATATGACGCCAGATCCAGAAGGTCACACAGGCCATGACTAACCAACATAACAATCCCCCTCCCTCAGCTTACGGGTTAGTGCCCAGTCTTTAACCTTGCCTTTTTCTCCCCTACACAAAAACCACGCTTGTCCCAGCTCCCTTCCCCCCCTCCCACACTACTATTTTCACTTGTATACTTGCCCTTCCCCCCCTTCCTTCTCTGCTCTCACATAGCTGTGTATATTTCCAACACAGTCTGCTTTTACCAGTTCTCACGGTCTCTTCGCTTGCAGATTTCTTATATTTTTTCTTCTACCCTGAAGATGGAGGCGATACGTTCCTCCGAAACGTCGGTTAACACCACATATACACGGTGCCAAATCCCAGAAGACTGCTTTCTTCATAGTCACCATCGTGAAAGCCTCAAATACTACAGGATCTTTATTGTTTGCATCCTGTGGTTTGTCATGATATGGAAAGAGAGATGATGGCAGTAAACCTGGACCAACTGGCACCCTATGAGGGTACCACTTGGGATGAGCAGCCTTAGAGAGCGAGAGTAAACACTGAAAATCGAGCCATGGGGAGGAAGGTGAGACCAGGCACTGTTGTCGCAAGCACAGCCCTTGGAAAAGAAGAAATGTCAGTATGCTTGTAAGCCATTTGGGATGAATAGCCTAAAGGAGGGAGCAATGTAGCATGTAGAGCTGTTACTGTGTGACAAACTTGGGATAAGCTAACATACTGGACCCATTTCTAGGCAATGGTTCAGTGAACACTTTCCCATGGCAGTGACTTGACACGCAGCAATAGAGGTGGTCTTGGATATAGGGTGTTTCTGTGTCATCTGTAATGTGGAATTATCTTGAGGACAAATGGGGCTTCCAAGTTCATTTCAGTATGGGAGTCTGTGAAGAGAGGACTTGAGCGGGTGAAGCTGAAGAATCTCCACTGTTAAAACCTATTACCAGAAAATATCTGTTGAGGACACTGCAGGCTGGAGAAGACTTAATGTTAGTGATTTGTAAAGTATGGAAATCAGCGATAGTGTTATAGTTATTTGTAGTTACAATCTGTAAGTGGTCAGTAAATCAAGTCACCAATCCAAACCCCATCTATACTCAGACAAGTGACAATATGTATGTTATTTAGGTACTCTCAGTCTGCAGGGTAGGAACCCATTTGAAACCACTGTGTTGCTGAAGCCTTAAATTGGATCATATGGAAAGAAGTAACAAGGATTTGAATCTAATCGCACTAATTTGAGGTTATATCTTATGGTGGGTCTCAGTATTAGTGATGAAATTCTGGAACTTTTCAGTTGTTACACTGGTTTATTAATTGGATATGTGTACTTGGTTTGTTTTCTGCACCCAGCTAGAATTGACTTAAATAGTACTGTGTGCTTTGTTTACAGCATTACACATTGAATGATGAGCAAGTGGTATTCAAAGTAAATATCTCAGTTTTAGTAGAATGTCTCAACATATTTGGAGGATCAGCCACTGCACTTAAAATGTGTTACCAAGGATATGGCTTCCCACTTACATTGTTGTAAGTACATAAAGCAATAAGGTGTTAGTGTGATTGTAAAAAACAGAATAAATTTCCAGAATGAAATTAAAAACAAAACAACAAAAAAGTGGGGTTGTAAAATGAATAGGTCATATGACACTTTCCTGAATGGGATGTATTAAGGGGATATTAGTCAGTGGCCCAATCCTAAAGGGTGAAGGCAGGATACATTTGGCATGTGCAAGAATGACTGTCTCAGTTTGAGATGGGAATTTGGAAGTATTTTGAGAGCTGAGATTAGAATGAGGATTTCCACTGCTAGACCAATTTGTTTAACTAATAACAGTTTATAAAGCCGGGTTTACACGGGTCAAGTCGTGAGTCAAGTATCTTGCCTCCGCACTTGCGTGGTTTTGTTCTACTTGACTTAACTACACGTGTTTTCACGTAGTTCAGTAGTTGTTCAAGTGATTTTGAAACATGACTGCAAATCGTGTTGAGAAAGCTGGTAATATTAGCCCTGCCGGCCTGCTCACTTGCATCATCTCTTGTTTACACTGGTAAAGTCAGTGGTCAAGTAGGCGATGAAGTGGTAAAATTCGTGGTGGGGGTAGCAGTCAAGTCAAGTTACTTGTCCACCGTGCAGAACTACTTGACTTGTCTCACTACTTGACGCAAGTAAGTACTTGACTTGGCCGGAACTGTTTACACGATGCAATAAAAATATTCTAATTAACTTTACCGCCCTACATGACCGTTTACTTGACCCGTGTAAACCCGGCTTAACAGTAGCAATTTTTTCACAATGTACCAAAGTGTACTACTTTCAGCTCTCCCTGTAATAGGCTGTGGAGGCCCATAGGGTTGTGAGATTTTGAGGCCACCACATTTTCTAGAGAGTCGGCTCACAGATGGTGGTGACATTGTCAGCCTTACATGCCGGCCACGTTTTACCCCCAGGGAGATTCCAGGTACACATTTCTGTTAGAGTCTGAGTCGACCCCAGGGCCATAGTGCAGCTGGAAGGTTTCAGTCGACTGAAAAATCTGATGACCTCATCAGGAATTGAACCCATGACCTTTCGGCTTGTAGCACAGTACCTCAACCAACTATGCTACTGTGTGCCCCCAAGTTTACTACTTATCCTGTTTGATATAGGATTATTTTATCACTGAAACATTTTTATAAAGCATAAGGAATCAGTTCTAGGCCCATGTACATTTTCTCCACATGTAGGAAGAGGGACAGAAAGAGATTTTTTGACAAATTGATTAGTGCTAGTGTTCCCAACTGTTAAGCTTCTGAAAGATGGAGTAGTTTGTGAGCTACTGCAAAAACCTGTAGCAGTTGTCTGAAGATTATGGAAGTTCCACACCGAGATATCGATGTTAAGCTCAAAGTTGAGAATTTCTTTTTCCAACTTGAATCTAAAAAATTGAGACTTGGACATGTATGTGTGTGTGGTTTGGGGGGGGGGGGGGNATTATTTATATTATTAAAGTGGCATAGCAGAATAGAGGAAAGTCACAAGAGCTTGTGTACAGTCATGAAATTGGTCTTCAGCACAGAGCACTAATGCTTAGCTCATATGTTTCTGTTACTAAGTGACAGAAGAATCAGAAGCCAGTATTTGGGGCTGCTGCCTGATGGTCATAGCACTTATAATTCTTTTCTACATGCTGTGAAAGGAAAAGTGCTGAACCTGTGGTTAGGAACTTTATATATATATATATAGCTATTTTAAGCAATAAAGAAATATTAGCTTTATGTTGTAATGATGTCAGTAAGGTATATTCAGTTTCATTACATAAGAGATGATAGTTAGGGTTAGTACTTTCAACATCTGAAATAATTCATGTTCATCGTTTACTTACTAAAGAATCCTGCATCTGTCTTATGTTTTTATGGTATAAATTTGGTCTCGTTTATATTTAACAAACTTGGTATTGCATGTAATATAAAAGCAGAGTTATGGTGGGTTGTAAATTCTTGTGATGGACAGATCAAAGGAGTCTTTTAAACTTTCTCATAGCCATTGATGTCACATCAGAAAGAAATATGGAATTATTTGCCAAGTATGAATGTTACAATATTGTTGGAACTGTCCCTTTTAAAGACAAATCCCCTCAAGAGCATCATGTTATCTCAGGACTGTTTTTTGCCTAACTTAGGTATAGTGTGTTAAATAAGCACTTGCTGCAGATTTACAGTTTGTAGTACATAAAGCTGTATACCAGAACAAATGTTACAGATTAGAAGAAGGTGGAGTCATTACAGACTGCAGTATTAGGACATTAGAAGCAGAGGAAATACTTGATTTCAATTTCTCTGCAGCCAATGTCCTCAACAAAATCATTCTTCGATCAGAATGTCTTAAAGAAGTATTTGCAGAACTAGACACCTCCAGCGATCTGATAGAAATTTTACTGTCGCCTGATCCACCTTATTTTCGAATTACTACTGCTGGTACTGCTGGAGATACTAAGGTGATCAGCTGCTTTATATTATTTACAGTTATCTAATAAAAGTGTGAAAGTGTTAAGTATTGTTAATTATTTAACAAATAATAAAGAAAACATTTTGTTTGACCAAAGTTGTGTTTCCTCTGTTTTATGATACAACAAACTGGATATTAGCTGAATTGAATAACTTCATATCTTATTTCAGATTGATATTCCAAAGAATAGCGACATGATTGAGACATTCCAGTGTACAACACTTGCAACTTCCAGGTACTGTATGTGTCTCTGGGACCATTTCCTGAAAACCCCTTCATACAAGATTTGAGATTTTCACAGTGGAAATGGTGTTCTGGGTTGTGACATTTTGTGGATGGTTATGGGAGGAGCAGTAATATTGATGCAAGGGAACCTGCAGTCTCCATCTTCAGCATAGAAGAGCCACTTTTACTTTAAACATGTTCTTGTAAAACGTTGGTAACTACCCTCAAGACACTGTAGTGTCACAACCCAGAAGCTGACAGTTGAAACCACTTCATAGTTTACTATTTTTGTAGTAAGGAAATACTACTCAGCTCAGTGATTGAGGCTGTTGGTATGTCATTTAAGATAATTTAGTAAACTACAACATGAAATGATATTTATTTATTCAATGTCCTGATATGTTTGGACCTCAGAAGGTCATCATCCGGGTTGTTCTGTTAATACTTCTAGTACAATTACTCAAGGTTTCTACAGATAGATTGTTTATTCTAAGAACTCATATTACAGTTAATAGAAATAATTATGGTACAGTGTATTGAAATTGTCATGTGTTAAATGACTTTGAGATGGGGTTTGGATTGGTAACTGTATTTATTTGCCTCTTGTAAATTGTCGCTACATGTAATTGTAGCACTGTCTCAAATTCACACACTTCACAAACCACTACAGCAAGTCTGCTGGGAGGTAAGAAAGTGTGTGCCTCTGCATGTTCTCTTGATTGGCCTCCAACTTCTCCTGACTTGCTTTTTATCTTTTCTAACCAGGCCTCCATCATGGCCTTCATTTGTTCTCGGTTGGTTCGCATTTTGGCTGTCATTTGTTCTTCTCTGGCTTTTGTCGTGACTTTTATCTCCTATTGATTGACCCTTGTGGCCTTCATTTCAGCCAGCAGGGGTCCTATCATTTGCTCCATTTTTGTAGTATGACTATATAACTATCCAGTGCAATCTTTGATCTAATCAATTTAATCCAATTTATCTAACTTCTAACACCAGCCATCATGTTTTAGTGGCTAGCTAATTGGATTTATTAGACCAGTTTGATGGCTCTACACATGTTACAAATCACTGTACTGCAGCACACATGAAGTGTTCTGTGTCTTCCTCTGCTTACATCATTATGGTCTGGCAACTGGCTCATAACTACCTGAAATGTCGACAGTATATATATATATATATATATATATATATATNTATATAGAGAGAGAGAGAGAGAGAGAGATTATGACTGGCGGTTTCCAACCAATCGGTTCATCTTGGCGCCAAGCCCCTTGAGACCCACAATCAGTATTTTTTTTTCAACTGAACATTTGTGGTTATAGTCCTTCTGTTATTTACAATTACTGCTGGCCCTCACCAGTGCAGTCATTCTTGGGTTTCCTTATTTTTTAAGATATTTCAGATGTGTTCTTTGGATCTTAAAGAAGTATTCTACCAGTTTGGCCAATGTAGGCTTTCTAGTAATCCAAGCATGTTAATTTAAGTGTGTAAGTTTGACATATGCTGAATTTGAAATTTGCTTATGATATCACAATAATCCTGATTATCACCTTCTCTTTAAATTCAGTCCCAAGAAGTATGGAGAGCAGAACAGATCTTTGTGTTTATTGTTTGCATACTGTTGTGTATCTTTAAAGGTACTAATGTTGCTGTCAACACAAGTCTTTGCAACATTCCACAAGTAGACATCAGGCTCGGATGTCATATACAACATGAAAGGAATACCAGCACATTCATAAGAGGAAAATCTTTAAAAATTGCACCATAACCTGCTTATGCAATTTGCGTCCAGTCACTAAATATTCTGCAAACCCATTGTTACTGTACACCTGTAATGTGATAAATTATTATGAAATAATCAGTCACGAACATCGCCAATGACATACATAATACTAACACACACCGAGCTTATCCAGCTACATTGTACTTTATCAATTTTATTTAATTTACAAAATGCTGATGTTCTAATTTTTAACCTTTAACATATAAGACAGTTACATGATACATGCCTGGGTGGCACATGAAATGATCCAGTATTTTATTTAGTATTAATTATTCAACCATGTAATGAATGATGTTTTGTAACATGGTTATACTTACAGTAAATCATGGAAATTAGTTCTTACCCTTGCCAGACATCCTTGTGTCAGACTGTTCCTGTTCATATGCCAGTTTACAAGATGGCAGAGTGTTGTTCTTTAGTGAAACAAGAACCCATGTGACTATATCCTTTCGGAATATCTTAAGGAAAAGATTTTTCTGAAAAAGCCGCAAGTATTAATGTAATTGAGAGCACTAATCATTCAGGGTTCCAATGAGATAACTGAGGATATGTGCCAACAAGTAATCAACATCACAGTACATGTTGAAGATGTTACCAGATATAATGGTGGCCATATTGAAGACTTGATTCACAGAGGATAAATCTCCATTCAATGGTCTTTATTTTTGTATGTTAGTTTCTAATACTGTAATTGAAATAAAGATTGCATTAATAGATCAAATACTGCATCATTTCATTTGCTGCCCTGTAGTTTTATCATGTTGCAGGCCATGGAAACTGAACACTTCTGCTTTGTGTAGGAGACAACTAGCACAAGAAGGCTCCACCCTACCTGCTACAATGTCATTATATTCAACTCAGTCCCAGAACTTTTGAGGCCTCCACATATATGAATGGGTGTTACAGATTTTTTCTGATGTTTGTATTTGTGCAGGTACAAGCTGTCTCATGTAAAGCCATCTTCCAAGTCCCTTGCAGTGTCTCAGAAAGTGTCAATCCGAACTGATGACAGGGGTCTCCTCTGCTTCCAGTATATGATTCCTGCAGATAACCACACATGTTTTATTGAGTACTGTGTAAGTATGTACTGCTGTAAGCTTTCAGAAATAGTTGTATGTTGCATAAATTATAGGGTGGTTAAAAAGAAACCTTTTATAATGCAGAAGAAGTTACTTTGAATAACACAAGGGTGTATGAATGTGAAAGATGATTGAGTATGTCTTGATATCTCTGATATAGTGTCCAGTTAGAATTTTTATGTAGTAATTTATAAGTGGCCTTTGTTCAATAGTTGAGACCTTGTGCTTATTTTTATATTTGTGTCTGGTATGTACGTGTAAGTTACCCCATAATCTTTCCTGACTTTTTAATATTGGTTTAGTCATGAAAATTAATTTATATCATAAGTACCTAAATAAACTTTGTGTTTATCTTGTCATATGTACATGAAACCAAACCTAGAGAATGATTTGGGCAAAAATGATTGATGAAGTTTTATTCCTGTTAGTTATTAGCTGTCTCACATGCAGGTTGCTTCTTGAAACTTAAAGGTTTTGAAAAGCAGTTGTATGTGAGACGGTTAATAATTAACAGGAATAAATATGTGATGTGCAACAGGATTCTAAGACATGATATTATCGATAAAGATATTTGATACCAAGAATATAGTGCCTTTACTCAGATTAAAATACGGGCACCAGCCCTGTAGAGCAAGCAACCAACTACGCAGTAGCATAGTTGGTTGAGGCACTATGCTACAAGCTGGAAGGTCCCAGGTTCAAGTCCCAGTGATGTCATTGGATTTTTTTCAATTGACCTAATCCTTCCAGCCCTGTGGTTGACTCAGCCTCTAACAGAAATGAGTACCAGGAATTAATTAAATAATTTTCCTGGGGAGTGAAGCACGGCTGGCGCACAAGGCTTACCTTACTGTCATCTTCGAACCGATTGTCTAAATAATGTGGGACCCTCAACGTCTCACAACCCAATGGGCCTTCACAGCCTGGTACAGGGATAGCTTTACAATTATGCATCCTGTTGTGTATGTGATATTTAAAGCTTTTATTTTACCATCACACAACAATGTAGATTTGATTATTATATAATAAAATGATTGAGTTCAAGTGAAAATGAGTCACCCAGTTTATTATAGCAATCGCACTACATGCTTCAGTCTCTTTTGGCCATCAGGTGTGTATGAATAAAAGCAATAAAATATATTAAGTTTATGTCGAATTGCATGATGAATATGGATCCATTTTTGAACATCATAGATTTAAAAGTTGTGTACATGTTTAGGGATGGATAAACAAAAATATATTTACAATGTTGTAGAATTGTTAAAATTATAAAATATATGTGTGAATGTGTGTGTGTATATAATGTAGATATATAAAATAGTAGCCTAGATGGTGGCTGTTCATTTTAGGGGGGACTGTGATTGTAGATTTTAGTTTAAATTGTGTTTGTAGTTATGAATGGTACAGTGTTCATATATCTGTGTATCTTATGTTCTTCTTTTTTCTTATCCATGTTATTATGTTTTTTATGATGTAGCAGAATATTGGGTATATTGTTTTGTGCAGTTGCACTGTCTGAAAATATTGCTATGAAGCAGTATTTGTTCATGTTTTAGTTTTTCTGTGTTTTGGTTGGCTAGGATTCTGTGTTTATAAATTTATAGGGAGATGAAGGTGTAGTCTCATTGTTGTTTTGGTTCGTTATATGTAATGGTGTTTCATGTGGTTGGTTTATTTTTGTGTTGTTTTCTGATGTGCTGGTTTGCGTATTGGTAATCGTCTAACAGTATCTGGTGAAAAGTACAAATTATGATGCTACTAATTATGGAGTCTTCTCTAGTCTCCTGTTACTTCCTATTTTTTTAGGTCCCTATATTCCACTCAGACACCTATATTCTGTGTTCTCAGGGTGTGAGATGAATTCTCACCATCATACAAAAACGAGGGGTAGATTATGGTATTACAGGGACATATAATTGTAACAAATACGGTTATAACTTTTTAAGATAAGCATTTACATAATAATTGTAATTGCTGCAGTAGTACATCATTCATAGTATTGTAATTAGAAAGGACAGAGAGTAATAATGAATGTTATTTTCAGTGTACTCCAGTAGCAGACATTGATGGTGAATATGACGAATGATGGACAGTAACAATAATCACAGAAATTCAGAGACATCAGTCTGGTATAATGTTAATTCATAAAATGTTACAAGTTTTATATCTTAAATCAGTGTTGATCCAGTATTTTAATTTGAATTCATTTCAGAACCATAAATGTGTACATGTGAAGTCAAACCTTTGTACATTTTATAATTTATTTTGTGAAATCTTGTTTTCTAAAAAGTTAATGATGATTGTGGTGGTTATAAACCTAGGCTTCTCTTTTTTGTGTAAGGATAAGAGAGGAGAACATCAGTGTGTGTTAGTTGCTGACCAGGCATTGTTTCATCAACTGAAGAAAAGAAACTTGTATCCCATGATAGGTGTTTCATATGTGTGGTTGACACTAGTCTTGTGACACTGACCTATTTTTAAATGTGAATTAGTAAAATAAAAGAACATATTATGATTAACAAAGTTTTTAATTCATGTTTAGCAACTGAACTCAGAACCACATGTAGAGTGTCTCATATATTTTTACCTATCCTGACAATTTAGTTTGATGTTTCTTCCGGTCATGTGTCTGCACTGTCAAATATGATATTCTTTCATGCATCATGCATCATCATCATCATCATCACCACCACCTTCCAAGTTTTGGCTTTCAGTTTGTTCTGTGCTAGTGGATATGTTGATTCCTCCACCATAGTTTCAGGCATCCAATGAGATTTCTTTCTTCTTTAGAGACAGGTAGTAGGACTCCTTGGATTGGTGTGGGGTGTCAGCCAATCACAAGGCTGTACCTGTACAGGACAATGCAAACAGAGAAAGAACACAGACATACATCCTTGTCTTAATTCAAGTAGATTTTTGGGCTTAATTCTTACAGGATAGGAAATTAAGTAGGATATGTGTGTATTTCAGAGACCTTTAGTGCAATATTATATCTCAGCATCCCATTCTATTGAGACATTATCCTATTTTACTAATGTATTCGTCAGTAATACAGCTTTAAAAAGGCATTAGGAATATGTTGTTCACTAAAAATGCATTTTAATACTCATTCATTCATCAGTAATCTGTCTAGACGACAGGTCCACAGTCTCTTCCAAAACAGTTCCTCCATTTGATGCGATCTAGAGCTTTCTCCTTCAAATGAAAATATCCTCTTCTGTCCCCAAGGTCATCCAGCATCTTCTTACATCTTCTTCCTCGTCTTCTGGTCACTTCTGTCCGTCCCTCTATCTTTCCTTCAATAACTTCTTTTAGAAGGCAGTTACTGCGTAAGATATGACCAATCCAATTAGCCTTCCGTTTTCTTATTTCGTGTAGGATATTCCTCTGCTCACTGACTCCAAATAACACTTCTTTATTTCTCACATAATCGGTCCAACTGATCATCTCCATCCTTCTCCAACACCACATTTCAAAGCTTTTCAGATGTTTCTGATCTACTGCCCTAAGTGTCCAAGTTTCAGCCCCATACAAAGCAGTGCTCCAAATGTAGCATTCCAATAGTTTCTTTCTCAAATTTAAGTCCAATTTGCTGGTAAAAAGATTCTTCTTCTTGCTAAATGCAGCTTTTGCCATGACAATCCTAGATTTAATTTCACACGCACACCTTCCATCATCTGTTAACAAGCTACCCAAATATTTAAAACAGTTCACATTCTTCAGTTGTTTTTCGTCTGTCTTTATTGTGACTGGGGTTGGTTGTCTCGAAATTTTCATTACTTTTGTTTTTTCCACATTCATTTCCATGCCATAGCACCTTCCAATTTTGATTAGTTTATCAATCGTACCCTGTAGCACAGTTTCTTCCTTAGCCATTAACACAAGGTCATCTGCATATTTCACAGTTTGAATAATTTGCCCTCCTAATATGAAGTCTCCAAGCCCATCCAGAGCTTCTTTGGTAAGACATTCGCTGTACAAGTTGAACAGAATTGGTGATAAACAGCATCCTTGTCGAACTCCTCTTCCAATCTTCACACTTCTTGTCTTTTAATACTTTGACAGTTAAAATCAATAATATGCCTGTAGGCTGTTATGTTAGCATATAAATTTGCACATTGAAAGTGAATGTCCACACTCCTAAAGTTGTCTTGGTTTTATGTAATACAGAATAAGATAGAATCAAGAGCAATGACATTACATTCACTATACTGGTAAACCAAAATGGGGACACTGACATGGGGAAACATGACGACAGCCCCAAAATAGCTGGATAAAAATGAAATTTAACCACTAGCATGAAGTGAATAATGACGTGCATGAGAGAAGCATGGGAAACAAATACAGTGCAGTGGTCTCACTCCAGGATAGAATTCACCTGGTGATGGCCCAATGAGGGCGAAACATGTTGTGAAGATAAATTACGTAAAACCAAGACAACTTGAAGTGTGTGGACATTCACTTCAATGTGTAAATTTATATGCTAACATAATAGCCTATGGCCATATTATTGATTTTAATGGTCCTAGTATTAAAATGCATTTTTAGGGAACAACATATTCCTAATGTCTTTTTAAAGTTGTATTATTGATGGATACATTAGTAAAATAGGATGACTTTAGTACAATGTATGTAGCCTGTGTCTGTCTCAAGTTTCGACTATCAGTAATTTCTTTATGATGGGAGTCCACAGCATGAAAAAATCCTTTGTTTTTATTTTACTTGGAAGGCCTTCCAATGTGCTAGTTGAAAGCCCTAGTATGGTTCATTGTGTCATCCCGTGGGTTTTAAAATGTGATCTAATAAGTGAAATAAGACAAACCAAGAAAGTACAACAGTGCAAGTACAACAGCCCCCAGACACTAAGGAAAACTGACTTTTTATGTAAAATCTTGTAGTGTAGAAATATGAGGTTGTATAAAGGTTGTTCAATAAATACGGTTCCCTAGGTCATGCAAATGAAATGAGTTATTACAATGCTAATGTAGCTCCATGTAGTTCACTGATATATAATTATTTTTCAACATGAACCCCAAGCACATTGATTTATTTATACTGTCTTGGCACAATTGGCTTAGTTAAGCACAGAGGTAACTTTACTATGAAGCTCCATTTCTGATGTTATCTTCAAAATATTGTTCACTGTGATTTCCCATTGGTATACGCTTTGGAAGGGCGTTGTTAAACAGTGTACAATATATTGAATTCTCCTGCGTGTGAGTAGTATTACAAATTAAATCAATCTGTCGAATTCGGTATTTTAAGTGGTGACATTCAAATGTGTAATATACGTCGATTTTCTTTTACTGCCACGAGATGGCAGAGTAATGTTAACATTTGTTGCACTCTGTGGGCGTGACCTATTTATAGAGTTCTATACACCCAGAGATTCGGAAACTCTTAAGTCGTGGTGTTGAGTTTGAACGAAAATCGTAGAAACTCCAAAAGTTATAATACTTTTTATTTTATACAGGTATATTGTTCGATGTGAAAAATGAAATTATTTATATATCATGATTATAATTAGTAGATCATGTACTTTTGACAAAATTTTTGGTGTAAAAATTTCAAGGAACATTGCCTAATATGGCGTTGTGACGCTGTTTCCGTTCAAAGGTAAGAAGACTTTCCAGGAATTCGAGAGGACAGATAGTGGCAATACTTTGCAGGATTGTGTTGGATGTGTAAAATATTTGTAAATGTTAGTTAAGAACTCTCTGACATCGTTAAGGAATTGTGTGTAGACCGGGTTAAAAGTAAGTTATAACTGTCACAGCCTTCAGTTTGACCATGAAATTGTACATTTAATACATATTGCAATACGAAGTTATTTTAGAAGGTCTAACCTCATCTTTCGTAATTTGTAGCGCAGGGTTAGGTTAGGATTGGGTTGACATGAAATGTATTATTAGTTACACGTTTTGTATTTATGTATGATAAGACGTATTGCTTGTTCTTTTTCAGATGTCATTCAGAGTGGTGCGAAGCAGTAAGTTCAGACATGTATATGGTTCTGCATTGAAGCGTGAACAGTGTTATGACAACATAAGGGTTTCAAAGTCATCATGGGATTCAACATTCTGTGCAGTGAATCCCAAGTTCCTTGCCATCATTGTTGAGTCTGCAGGTGGTGGAGCATTTATTGTACTACCTTTGAGTAAGGTAGATATTAATTAAATTTAATGTTAAGTATATGGTTGTACCTTGACCAACAACTTCCCAACTTACAGTTCCATTAAACTAACACCCATTAAATTTATGCTCTGAATATTTAATGTGTTACTCGAGACACATTTCACACCTTGGGTAGATTTGTCAGAAAGCCAAGGATCCCAGTGACCACTTCTCCAATGTCATCTGGCAGGCTGTGTGTTTTCCACAATCTCACATAACCAAGGCTCCCCTGTCTATATTTGATATGTTGGAGATCTCTGGTTATTGAAAAGCATAATTTAATTTGTTTATGAGTTTGTAAATGCTCTAATGTTGTTAATTAACTTTAAAAAATCCATTTTGTTAAGATCTGATCGCTTGAATCCTAACTCTTAATGATCTGTTGTAAGATATTAGCTCATTTTTAATAGTTTAAATATTTAATACTGTGTTATTTGATGCTCCTTTATTGATTTGATAATGAACACAATAGAATTATAATAAGTGTAAAGATGTTTTAAAATTTTTCTGAGCCTTGAAGTCTAGGAATGTAACTGTGCATTCCACATTTTAATGAATTTTATTTATGACCTTTTTTGGAAACTCATTCAGTTGTAAGTCCAAGGTACAGCTGTACTATATGAGAGGAAGTAGTCATTACAGAGCGGATGTAGGCCACCACACTTCCCTCGAGTATAGCCAGATAACTTCCTTTAGTATTATGGTAGTAGTAATTGAGATAAGATATTTCCTGCCTTCATGATAACTGTTTCCATGAAGCCTTAGTTTGCTAGACTGCTGTCATTGACACTCAAGAGTACTTATAATGTTGAAATTATTTAGGGTAATGTGTTCACTTGCCAAAGTCTATGCTTTGATAAACTACCTCATATTTTTGTTGTATGCTGTATTCAGTAGATCCATTGTTTATTTTCATTGTTTTCTTCCTGTCTTGTAAGCCCCATGTAAAATAACTGAAATTATGATAAGAGAATAAAGTTCTCAATAAATTGGTAATACTGTTTAAAAAAAATAAAAAGAATAAATAAATAGTATTTGACAGATGTCAAAAATGAACTGTCACATGGTACATCAAATGGTGTAACTTGTTCTTTTGTTTGGTATAGAAGATTTGTTTTTAAAATGAGCTTTGCATTCCTAATATTTAAATACATTTAATAAAGTGTGTGTATGTGACAGTATATATTGCAGTCAGAAAATTTTTCATGTAAGTTTATTGGTTCCATCATCTCAAGGTTGGTCTGAGCTATTTTTAGATTTGTCCTCAAAATACCCACGCACTAACTGAATGAATTGCTTCTCCTTACTGCTGCTTTCTCATGAAAAGAACCAGTACAGCACAGCTATTTTTAAAACTGTGAGATCATGGTGACCATTGACATTGTTAGTTTGGTATATATTTGTTTCTTAAGTTACAGGCTGCACTATCCATTTATCCTAACAGATAAGGTATTCATTAAAACAGTTGATATGATTGTTATAAAAACACCTTTAAATTTGCAATTTTAATTAGATTTGTTAATGTGATATATGCAAATTAAATATCCCATTTAGAATTAGTAGGCAGTATTGGGCTGATGGTGTATTCAGGATATTGGTTTCAGCAGCAGATAAAACAACCCTCCTATAGCTATAGCCTTCCTTAGAAGATTCTGCCAGATTTATCTATTCTATCATGATTTAGACCATCAGGTTTTCACTTATTTGGATTTTGCAACTGTAATTCTTTTATAGAATAAGGTGCTCAGCCTTGTATCCAACCCCCAGCCTGGAGGACCAGGTCTTTGTATTTATGTCCTCCAGTGACAGTGGCCCAGTTATACCCTCAAGCACTAGGTTCCATTTTCATTGCCTTCTACAACTTGCAGGGCTGTGGTGGAGGTATTCTAATGGCAGTATCACTTTCATTTAACTAGGACCTTGCAGTATTGAGAATTTATTATATATATTCACTGGTGTCACAATATAAAATTTGTGTTAGACGTTACTTGACTTCCTGAGGAACCAGAATAATAAAGTTTGCATAGTGATAGGCTACAGGCTAGACAGCTGGGGTTTGATAGCTGTCAGGGGCAAGAGGTTTCTGTCTTATCTACAGTGACCAGACTGGCTTTGGGGTCCACCTTGCCTTTATCTAGTGGGTACCAGGGGCTGTTTCCCTGGGCATAAATCAGTTGAGGTATGAAGCTTACCACTCACTTCCATCTAGTGCTGAGGTCAGAAATGGTTTATCTGTATGTCTATTCCCCCATACATTTTCATGTTGTGGTGATTAATTAATTAAACATAGGGATAGCTTTACCTTTACTTCCTGTGGGGCACTGATGCATTAAATTGGTCTGGCTGGCAGTTATGTAAACATTGTAATATTAGGGTCAGATGGTAAATATAAAACAAAGAAACATTTTTCTGTTCAGCATTGCTCTTAGTAAATTTTGTCAGTCCCATTAATAGAAGGAGCAAATTTTGCAGGAACTATCAAGCCTGTGCTTGTGGAGGTACCTTTATTCTTATTGCTATTATTGCTTTGTCTCCATAGGTAGGACGAATTGCTGCAGACCACCCTCTGGTTGGTGGGCACAAAGGTCCTGTACTGGATATAGCTTGGTGCCCACATAATGACAATGTTATAGCTAGTGGGTCTGAGGACTGTGTTGTGAAAATTTGGCAGATTCCTGACAGTGGTATCAGCAGGTTTGTTTCTATGAATATAGTGTGAGTTTTCATCGTGATGCCTTAGAGTAGGATGACTGGATATCTTTGAACTTCTAGGACAGTGGAATCCACTTCTCACGATGCTGTAATGCTAGATTGTTTGACCAATCATCATTATGTTATAATTTTGAGGCCAGAGACCAGTTAATGTAAAACTGTATGTGTATGTCCAATTTTCAAGCATTAGTTAAATTGATTCATTTATAACATTGCTGTTGTTTACTGATTCCAAATAAACCAATGCTATATTTGTCTAAAACATCTTTGAGACTGCATCATCATCAGATAATGACATAGATTGTTATGTCACTATTATAGTATTACTAGATTCTGTTTTCAGCCTGCAGTGAAAAACAACATTGCCATACTGGAGATTTTGTGGAACACGCAGGACTTCCCATCCATAAAGTTGCCTTTTCAAGGTATGATGTACCCTGAAAGATGGTTTAGACAGACAGTATTAGAAAGAGAAAATTGTGCTTGTTCTGGGATCTGAAATGTCAGTCACCCAGCATGTTGCCAGTTAGTGTACTGGCTGCTGTATAAATAATACAGCAGACATGCCAAAGAAGATGTAGGCTTTGTTATGGTAGAATGGTTACTACCACATATTTTGTAGGTACTTGCTTCTAACCCTGACCAAAATTGGCCACCATGAGTACATATTGACTGACTTAGAGCATATGTTCCAGTTACTTTTAGTGTTTCACCACAGCTGGTCTCATGATAAAGCAAAGAAGCAAGCCAGTATTTATTTACCATCTGTTAATATTAGTTGTGACTTAGTATGATGCATGTCATTTAAAATTGTGATCTGTGTATACGCAGTATACTCTGAATTATCTGAGGGAGCAGAAAGACATTGACAGTTTAAAGAAGAAGAAATTATCTTGTTTTCATATCACAGACTGCACATGTTAATGTTTATGACAGCACAACAGATATGAGAAATATTAATCATACTATGTAATATTATGCTCATCATTTAGCAGTTAGAAAAAACATAGCAGCTCAGGAATGTTGTGTGGGAAATATTTGGTCCTGATCTCCCAGTACAGATAAATACCTAAAATGATAGAAATTCAGATTGGGAAGATTGTAACTTCACTTACATGTATGTGTGTCTGTGACATTGTTTGGTTTTGTAAGCATTTTTGTCCCGAGTCTAGAGTTCGAACCCAGGTATATTCATATGTGTGTTTCTCCACAGGGTCCCATATTATCTTACAGTAAGAAGTAGTCATGGCCTATTTTAAAGTGGTGAATTGTGATTTTAAGTAGATAGTATAGGATAGGATTTCTTGCAGCTGAGGATATGATAGGTACCCAATAAAAATTGTTTCATATTAGCATCTTGTTTAATTTTATCTTATAAAGCTTGCAGTCTGTTACTGATTATTGCTGAGTAGACATACAAATTTGGGTATTTTAGATTAAGTTGTTAACTGTGAATTTATCAATATTTGTTATCTCAGCAGTAATTCACAGTTGACCTTTATCATATCATACCTTTTCTTGTTTCTGCTGCTGATATACTCATCAGACTTGGAATGCAGGACATGCACCATTATGACACTACAGATGTCATATCACTTGATAATATATAAGACTGAAAATCATGAAGACAGGAAAAAACCTCATATAGTCAGAAGGATTTACTAAGCGGTACTGGTCAGGTGTGCTGCCCAACTCCATGCAGGATCTTCAGACACTGTCCAGTTTATTTATAATGAAACTGTAAATGAATTCTTTTCTGATGGTTTTCAGTCATGTACAGTTTATGTAATACATACAGAAAAGTAGTTTTCCTGTGATCTTCCTATTACAGATCCAATAGAGAACACTATAAAATGTTAGGAAATTTAATTGAAAAGTTTGTGACAATGGTACATATGTACAAATATTTTGTTTCTGGACATTATCCATCATCCTGTCTTTATCTAAAAACACCATCCTGTTTATTTTTCAAAACACAATGTTTGGGAGACTGGATTCTGTCTCTGTTTTCAGGTAAGAACTACTCAATATTAGAGTCAATTTTACCGACCACAAAACATATTTTTATTATTATTACGCTACATGTTTCGACCTCAAGAGGTCATCCCTAGGTGTACGAACACAGCTGTATAATTACACGCAATCACATTCGTCTTCTCACTTATTTGATCCTGTATCTTATTCAGGCTCACGCTCAATAATATATCAAGATCTCTCTTAAAACACAAGTTTAAATTGTTCTAAAAGTCAAAAGTTAAAATATAAATTTAAAATTGTTTAAAAAATTTAAAGTTTGTGAATTGAATTTCAATTCAGGTCACTTGTTATTCTTTCATTTTCACTTGTACTCAGTCACTTCCTACTTACGTTCATCACTGCGTCAAGTTAACTTTAACTAGTTTAATTATATTATTGATTAAATGTTCATGAATTAAGTTCAATTTTATTATAGATTGCACTTTTTCACTTTTGGAGGTCTTGCTGTTCTACTGCATCTTCTGAAGTTGTGGATCTGTTATGGTCCATGTCATGATATATATAATATAATTAAACTAGTTAAAGTGAACTTGACGTAGTGATGAACGTAAATAGGAAGTGACTGAATACAAGTGAAAGTGAAAGCATAACAAGTGACCTGAATTGAAATTCGATTCACAAACTTTAAATTTTTTAAACAATTTTAAATTTAAATTTTAACTTTTGACTTTTAGAACAATTTTAACTTGTGTTTTATGAGAGAGCTTGATATATTATTGAGCGTGAGCCTGAATAAGATACAGGATCGAATAAGTGAGAAGACGAATGTGATTGCGTGTAATTATACAGCTGTGTTCGTACACCTGAGGATGACCTCTTGAGGTCGAAACATGTAGTGTAATAATAATAAAAATATGTTGTGTGGTCGGTAAAATTGACTCTAATATTGATTAAATACACAACAGGATGCAAGAAACAATTAAAGAACTACTCAGTTGGGTCCAATTGATAGAGCTAGTCCCTATCTCTGAAGATAGAATCCAGACTCAGAAACGTGTTTAGAAAATTAAACAGGATGGTGTTGTCAGATAAAGACAGGACGGTGGATAATGTCCGGAAACATAATATTTGTAAAGGTAAAAGGTAAAGCTGTCCCAGAAACAGGCTGTGAAGGCCCATAGGGTTGTGAGATGTCAAGGCTCCCACATTTTCATAGACAGTCGGCCAACATATGGCAATAAGGTTGTCAGCCTTACACACTGGCTGCCCTTTACCCCCCAGTAAGATTACTGGTACTCATTTCTATTAGAGGCTGAGTCAAACCCAGGGCCATATTGCGGCTGGAAGGATTAGATAAATCGAAAAAATCCAGTGACTTCTTTGGGGCTCAAACTTGCGATCTTCTGGCTTGTAGCATAATGTCTCAACCAACTATGCTACTGTTTGCCCCCAAAATTGTGATTTACCACCTTTTGCAACTGTTATCCTGTTTTCAACCAAAGGAATTACAACACTTAAAGTGAACAAAATAATGATGGAAAGACCAAGAACATCTTAGGATTTATAGGAACTGGACTTAACACAGTGATGAAGGTCATGAAATAGTGATCTAGATTGTGGTATTCTGATGCTGATGACAGCAGGTTCTTCCAAAACTTTGGTAACCACCAGCTAGACTGTACATTATCATAATCCAGAAGAACAACCATAATCTAAATCTTTACTGATGTGAAATCCTTAAATCCCATTTAAATTGTAATGGTTATGTGATTGTGATGAAGTGCATTTGTTGGGAGGTACAAATTTGACCCTATAGTTTATCTGGCTGAACTTCATTGAAGCATCAGAAATATGTATGTCAGTGCATTTTTATGGTACTGTGCTGTTATATGTTTCATGTGAAACAGATGTATTAAAATATGCATGCATGTAAACATACTATCTTCTTCATTTAACTAAGACATTATATTCATTGTCACAGCAGGTGTTGCATGAATTTTTTGTCTTTCTTTCTTTCTTTTGGGAAGGGGGCAAATTGCTGGCTCTAGCAGCCACAATATAAAAATTAAATTAATTTTTTTGTGCATCACATGATTGAAATTCCATTGTCTGTGAAGTTGTCACTAAGACTCTAAATAAAGCAAAATACCCTGTGCAAAGAATTATCATTAATTGCTAGTAATAATTGTGATTACATATACACGTATGTAATGAAATCATGAGAATTTTCTAATAATGAGAATAACTGCCATGAAGATGCATATTTGTACATAGCTGTAAAAATAATAGTTATACTCACATGATTATTCTATAATTGCAGGACTTTGACAGAACCTGTAGTAGATCTGGTGTATCACCAGAGGCGTGTAGGCCTGGTTCTATGGCATCCTACAGCACAAAATGTGCTTCTCACAGCTGGTGAGTGCTTTTCATGATTTGCATCTATTTCATATGGCAGTGATACGAATCACACTTTATGTTATACACTGAGAATACCCTACCAAAGTTCAAATAAATAAATAAATTAATATATGTTATCTTTTTGGATATGGCAGCATGTTGTCTTTTAGTATGGTATCAATATTTTGAAAGAATATACTGCTTTCATCTTTTGTTCTAGAGATGAAGGTAGTATGTTCCTCCAAAACATTGATATCCATTGAGCAGACCACATGGTGTCATGACTCCAACTCCTATTAATATACAGGTTCAGTTGAAAAAAATAAAAATTAATTTCATAATTAGAAGTGTTTTGAGTTGTCCCTATGTAATTTAACTTTATAGCAGATGGCAGTATTTAGTATTTTGGTTATGTTATTTTATATTCGATTCTAGGTTCTGACAATCAGGTGGTAGTGTGGAATGTTGGAATAGGGGAAGTTCTAGTACACATTGACTGCCATCCAGATATTGTGTATAGTGCTTCATGGAATTGGGATGGTTCTCAGCTTCTCACCACTTGCAAAGATAAGAAGATGCGGCTGATTGATCCACGCACAGGCACTGTTCAAGAGGCAAGTACTGTTTGCTTCACATTGTTTTGCATTGTTTCACATCGATTCATCAAACTAGTCTTTTAATTTCTTCAAATATAAAACACTCAGATTTAAGATGCATCCAGTTTTTTGATTGTGGGTTTTTGGAAAAAAATTAGAAAGTGCACAGTCCTCAAATTTAAGATGCACCTAAATTTTTCAACGGGGAAAAAATGCGCGTTTTATATTTAAACTTGTGGACCACAGAAGAAATTAAGAAATTAAAAAAAAAAAAACTTGAAAGTCGAACCAGATATTAAATTTATTCAGCATTACCATGCCAGTTGGAAGGACCACAATGAAAGAATGGATTCTAACACGATCCCAAACAAACTTTTGCACTAAGACCACATGGAAAAAGATGCCTAGGAAGACCATTAAAAAGATGGAATGAACTGTAACAGGCCACCTAGCCTACTGCTTCATGCATAAGATGAATATGAATATGAATATGATGATGATGATGATGGATGATATTTGAAGTAATATGGTGTGTGTGTGTGTGTATATATATATGTAAAGAACATTGCATGGTAGTAGTCTGCAAGAGAACTATACCGACTAAGCAACTGCCACATGTCGGTGAAGTTAGTGCGAACTTTAGCGGTTATACGAGGCTTGTCCACAAAGTAAGTTTCCCTGGGGCCGTTTACAGAAACAAAACACAATTTCATGGAAATATTTATTGCAACAGATACAGCAAGTGTTCAGCTATTTTTCAACATAATCGCCACCGGAATTGAGACATTTGTCATACCGTGGGACCACCTTTTGAATACCTGTGTCATAGAAGTCTGCCGCCTGGGATTGGAACCACTGTGTGACAACCATCTCCGCCTCTCTGTCATTCTCAAAATGCTGATGCTCACCGGACAGGAATTTCTTGAGGTCTTGCAAAAGATGGAAATCGCTGGAAGCGAGGTCCGGGCTGTAGGGTGGATGATTAAACACTTCCCAGCTGAACTCCTCAGGAGACTTGCTGTCCGTCGAGCTGTGTGCGGCCTAGCGTTATCATGCAGGAAGACAATACCAGCACTAAGCATCCCGTGCATTCCGCATTCCGTGCCGACGTCTGCTTTAATTTCGTCTTACAGGGAGATCCACTGTGACGCCAATGCATTGACCGCTGCTTGGTTTCTGGGGTAATGTGTGCAATCCACGTTTCATCACCTGTGATGATCCGGTCCAGAAACTCGTCGCCGTCATCATGGTACTGCTGCAGNACAGGGAGATCCAATGTGACGCCAATGCATTGACTGCTGCTTGGTTTCTGGGGTAGTGTGTGCAATCCACGTTTCATCATCTGTGATGATCCGGTCCAGAAACTCGTCGCCATCATCATGGTGGCGCTGCAGAAAGGTCAATGCTGACTCCATGCGCTTTGTTTTGTGTTCTCATGTCAGTTGCTTCGGCACCCACCTGGCGCACAATTTCCTGAACAACAGATGCTCCGTGACAATTTCGTGCAACAAGGAGCGGGAAATCTGCGGGACATGACTGCTGAGTTCCGCAATTGTGACGTGATGATTCTCCATAATGCGTTCCCGCACAAGCTGCACCAAGTCATCTGTAATGATGGATGGCCGCCCACTGAGCTTCTCATCATACACACTTTGTTGACCTGCTGAAAATTGTCTGCACCAGCGACGCACCATCTGCTTGCTCATGATGTTAGGCCCATAGACCCAGCACAGCCGACGATGAATTTCGATTGGCGCTATGCTCTGTTCATTGAAAAACTTTATCACCGACCGCACTTCACAGTCGGTGGGAGTTTGAATAAGAGCCTCCATCTTCAACAGCTGCAATGATGCTACTGTAGGAAAGCGGGAAATTCCGTTTGTGCATGTGCCATGCTACGTCATTGCTCTATCATGTACGCGCAGTCGCTTCGCGCAATATAAGGTTTGCTAGCTGTGGGATGAGTGGGAAACTTACTTTGTGGACATGCTACGTATATCTCTTGTAATATGCTAGCCATATTTTAAAGTTTTGTAGCATGGGAATCACTTCACAGGATTGAAACTTACAGTGATGGATGCAAGAAAACTAATTAAAGTTTGTTGTTTATTATATGGGAGCTAACATTAGTTAACAAGGAAACTTGGGTGGGAAGTCTCTTCCCTTCTGCAAGCTTTACAGAATTATTTTACATGAGATTTGTTCCATATTTGAGCAGCAAACTTGCTGCATGTTTACAATGTTAATATGTATCCTATTACAGGTGTAAAGTAGCAATTTGTGTGTTGATCCGAGCAGAATGTATAGGATTGACTTCACCTTGTATTCCACAATGTATTTTTTCTGTGGTCCATATGGATGCAATGTGCATGAGATACACATGAACCAAATACACCTTTTAGTTCATCAACAGTTATTAAAAGTACAGGAATCGCAAATTAAGTGATGGGCATTTTCTGGACTACCTGGATTTTACAGGGAAAATTTAAGAAAACAGACCTACTATACCTCCAGACACACTTATTTTAGGCAGCGTTTTCCAGGGAAAAACAGTGCATCTTATACTCTAGAAAATACTAATTTTATGAAATATACAACATCCCTGTCTTTATTTTTGAATTCATTATACAGTTTGCCATGAATTTACAATCCTGTCTGATGTATATGTGTGTGTGGCTTGCCATGGAGAGCTGTGTAGCAGGTCACATTAGTATTGAGATTTGAATCTGGCATCATGCTGAATGAAGTCAAAGTAGTTCATATCATACTGGTCATAGTAAACCATTATTATTGCTTTTCTCATAGAATCTGGTGGTAGAGTCCCAGAATGGTTGCATTAGTATAGCTGTTATGTCCTTCATTATCATGTCATAATTCTCCTGAGAAGACCATTTGGTTCCATCCTGTATAATTAAGGATGTCCTGCTGATGTTTATGCATTTGTTATAGAAAACAACCACTCATTATATATTGTTTCATTTTGTCATTGAAAATAAAGATCACCTATTCTGCCTCATCTGTAGGAAGCCGTGTGCCATGAGGGATCAAAAGCAACGAGAGCAATCTTCCTTAAAAGTGGTCTCATCTTTACGACGGGTTTTAGCAAAATGTCTGAAAGGCAGTATTCCCTCCGAGCACCAGAACACCTTTCAGAACCTATTGTTATGGTGGAGCTGGATACAAGCAATGGAGTTATGTTTCCACTGTATGATCCTGACACAAATCTTGTCTACCTCTGTGGTAAAGTAAGTTGATACATTTAAGTTTAAATGTATAAACATGTTTTCATTGAATAGCAGAGCTGCAATAAAGCAGTTTTCATTTTTTTTATTTGGGAGACTTGAAAGAAGTTTTATAATTTATTGTGAATCACATGTGAGCACTCTGCTGTTGAACTCAGTCTAAGAATCATATTTAGATTTTAGAATCTATCATTCTAATTGTAAGGTGTATTATTGTCATTTTTGCACCTATATTAAGTTGTTGGAAACAATACTTCTACATACTGTTTTGTGGTCATGAGGGAAAGATTAAAAATGCTTAAAAATAAAATTGTTGCAACAATGCCCTTGTATATGCATATGCTACATTTACTCATAATTCTCACACATATTTTCTGTATTTTGGTGATTGAAAAGTGGGATGTGTGATTTATGTGAAGAAAAATTTTTAAGCCTTCATTGACAGCATGCACTACCAGTTGCGAAGAATAATACCCACTATTTTCATAACGGTTATTTTATGGATTATCATCTTTGGAACTGCTCTCTGGTGCTGATTCACTATCTCTTTCCACATTCACATTCTTGTCTTCAACCCACAACATGTCACCTGTGCCTCCATCAAGAGTGTTCCTAATCCCACTTTTTAAAACGCTCTTCATAATTATTTTTCTTGACATCATGTTGTTATTTTTGTTACTTCCTGCTTGGATTGAATGATAAGTAATCAGTGTTCAAGCTAACCCTGATTTATCAAGACTGACTTTTGATACACAAGGGCGTTTTATATATATTCAGACATATAACTATGGTAACACATAACAATAGAGAGATTCTGTTTTTACACACACAACAGTAGAGAAATTAGGAACAGCGCATGTAGCACAGTCTGTTATTAAAATTGTTTACTACAATGTTGCCAACTCTAGCATTATATTTTAACATTAGAGACTTGCCAACATAACACTCCCCCTTAAACAATTTTTGGGAGTTTAAAAAATACTTATTCATTAATCAGTATATCAACAGAAATTATTATTATTTAGAACATCATTTGGAAACATTATTCTTAGCACAATCCAAGTGAATTAATAAAATCAGTGTTTCCCTACATTTAAACCTTTCGTACAACCATCAGCAACTAATTGATTTCCAGGAATGTAATGTACTGACAATTCCTTTGACTCAACCCTCTCTCCTACAAAATGAACTCGTGTCAATATGTTTTGTTCGGTCATTATTGGCAGGATTTTTCACTATGGTTAAAACACCACGATTATCACAAAAAACAGGAATAGTGATTTCCTTGTTACATATTTCAAACCATAATTTTCTCAAGAAAATGGCTTCTTTTGCGGTCTCTGATAACACAATATATTCTGCTTCTGTGGTTGACAAAGCTACAGTCCTTTGTTTTTTACATTGCCAACTGATAGCTGCTCCTGGTAATTTGAACACAGATCCACTAAAGGATCTACGATCTAAATTTCCACCCCAGTCTGCATTGGAAAAACCTTCCAATTGATCATTATTCTGAGAATATACAATACCTACATCCTTTGTAGAATTTAGGTATTTTAGAACTCTTTTTAACAAAACCCAGTGCTCTCTTTTGAAACAAGCGTTAACTCTTTGACTGGCGCGAAGGGTATTTAAATCCCACCCCTGTCCTGGCAGGCCCTTTAAACCTTATGTCGCTAAAATGCATTTAGTTACTTTTTCCTAAACAACTTCAACAAAAATTGGTTTTTAAAAACGAAATTTTCAGGAACTAATTAAAATACAATATTTTATGCAATAAATGCCTTTCCATACCTCTTTATTAGTTTTTCTTCGTGTGATAAACATTGAAACATGAAAGTTTGCAGAGAGCCGATTCCTGTCATGAACACAATTCCTAAGTATGTCCAGATTTCATCTGATGTGACATAATTGTAATTGTGTTTTCGAGAGTGAGGAGCTAACTCATGTGTGTTGAAGTGCTGGTGAGCATAGCGATTGGTTTCAGTTGTGATGTGATTTACCAAGTCGTCATCCAGAAAAATTTTAATCCATGAAAAGATATGCATTTTATGTGTTATATCAATTTTGATCCCGAAACTATTAGCAAATGGAAATATTGGGGGTACAGTGTCTCCGTACGTTCATGAGATGGGTGCGTCAGGCACCGCACTCGTGGTAGGTAAATGTTCATGATTACTGTCTTGTGGATCATTGTCTATCACTGTATTATTGTCACTATCAACTTCATCCAATTCAGGAATCATTAATTCATCGCCACTATCATCAGCACAAATCTCGTTCACAACATTATCCACCTGGTCTGTAGGAACACGAAGACACTTGCTGCAAGAAGCCATGGTGAAACTGAATGAATGTGATATATTTTCTGACCTTTTCCTTCTCAGAGGGTTCTTACAGTAATATAGACCCCCACAAAGTTCACAAGGGTTCTTTACAAACATGCACAAAAACTATCATATATATGTCTTTGGTTGATAAGTGCCAAGAGAGCAAAGAAGGGATGAGATTGTCAAAGCGTTAAAACACGCCAGCGCCAAAGAACGGCTGGCATCGTCCGGGCATTAATACACGCCCGCGCCAGTCAAAGAGTTAAATTGGCTCAAATAAGTCTTAGCAAAATATATAACAGGGCACGTGCATACAGCTAAATACATCATTGAGCCTACAGCTTGTTGATATGGCACATCATCTAGATTCTCGATCGATTTATATGATTTAGGTAACGGTTTCAATTTGCTATTTGGTTCTATTGGATGACTAACTGGTTTAGTCTCATTATGAATATTAAATCTCTTAAGAATATTGTTCAAATATTGAGTTTGGGTTAACTTTATAGTGTTCTTCACCCTATCTCTGTTCACTTCCATTCCTAGACATTTCTTAACCAGTCCCAAATACTTGACTTTGAAACATTGTTGCAATTTTCTTTTTAAAGTCTTAACTTCAACATTTTCATTGTGAAATTGAAGAAGTCATCAACATACAATGCTATATTAATTACAGAATTACCTTTTTGTTTGATATGAGTACCTGGTTCAGAACAAGTTTGCTTGTACCCTAGGCTTTTCAGAACCTCTGTTGCTTTCTTATTCCATGACGTAGTGGCTTGTTTTAGTCCGTAAACTGATTTTTTTTTAACTTTCAAACTTTATTAGACTCCCCCTTAATGTCATATCCTTCAGGAAACTCCATATATATAACTTCCTCAGTATCTCAGTTTAAAAACAACATACAGACATCAAGGTGGTCAATGTTCCAATCATGCTTAGCAGCTAAAGCAAATAACAGAGTCATTGATGAGTGTTTTACTACGGGAGCGAAAGTTTCAAAATAGTCTATTCCCTTTGTTTGGCTACAACCTTTCGCCACTAAACGTGCTATGTGACATGCAATATTTCCTTCAGCATCTCGTTTAATTTTGAAGACCCATTTTGACTTCACTACTGGCTTATTTGATGGTCTGTCTACTATTGTCCATGCTCCGTTTGTTTGAAAAGCTTCTAGCTCATGTTGAATAGCTTCTTTCCATTTAGATTTATCGGAGCTTGACAGTGCCTCTTCATATGTGACTGGTTCTGACTCATCATCTTTATGCATGGCTAAGTAGGTAATAAATTCTGAAAATTCTTTCCGTTTCCTGTTCCGAAGTGGATATCGTCTTTCTTCCCAATTTCCTGGTAATTATTCTAAGCTGTTCGGCTCTAATGGAACTTAATTTCCTTCATTTTCTACTTGTGTTTGTTCTTGCGGAATCAGTGTTTCATCTTGTGGGTCGAGGTAGAAACTTGACAACTCTGGAAGAATCTCTTTAAGCTGAAATCCTTTCTCACTCTCTTTCTTGTTTATAATTTCTTCTTCCAGAAATTATACATCTCTTGCCTTAACTATTTGAGACAGATTGAGGGGATCTGATAACCGATAAGCTTTACTATCCTCACTATATCCCACAAAAATGTATTTCTTGCGCACTGCATCCAATTTTTTTGTATTTCTCTGATGGTACATGAGCATAAGCTGGACATCCGAAAATTTTTATGTGGGAGAGATCCATCTTTTCTCCTTCCATATTTCTTCAGGCAATTGGTTCTTTAGTTTCTTGTGAGGTGATCTGTTCAAAAGATATACAGCTGTTTGTGCTGCTTCAGCCCAGAATCTTTTGTTGCAGCCGGAATCATACAACATACATCTTGTTTTTCCAAAATACCGTGATTAGCTCGTTCGGCAGTTCCATTTTGTTGTGGATTATATGGCACAGAGAATTCCCTTTTAACTCCCTTTTGTTTTAACATGTCATTGAATAATTTTCCCCAAAATTCATCACCATTTTCGGAACAAACAGCTCTTATAGTCAATCCAGTTTCTGTCTCAACCATTTTCATAAATTCTTTAAAGGCTTCATATGTGTCACCTTTTTGTTTCAAGAAACGAATGAAGATTTTTCTACTGTTATCATCCACAATAGTAAAAAAATGTTTAGCATTCCCATAAGAGGGTACTTCAAATGGCCCAACCAGATCTAAATGTAATAGATCAAGTATCCTTTTTGACCGCTTGTTCTTTGATTGTAGGAAAGGCTTCTCTGTCATCTTGCCTTCCAGGCATGGAACACATTTCTTTGACTGATCTTCTTGTTCTTAAAAATCAGTGCCACTAGCTAAACCTTTTTTAAGCAAGCACATGCTAACCCTATTTAAATGCCCCAAACATCTATGCCACAACAGTTGTTCATCAGTCACCAAAACCTGCACTAGTTAACACATTATCATCAGCAAGACTTATCTAATGTTCCTTAGAATCATGTGTTTTATAATTTTGCAAAACAGTCTTATTTCCGGTCATATGGTGTGAAGCACCAGAGTCTGTTACCCAAGTATCATCCTTAATTTTAACATGATAGGCAGATACCACATACATGGATTTTTTACTGGTCTTATTTTTCCATTTATTTTCATTATACCTTTGATTGGATCCTTCTTTATTTTCATCAGTACTATTAACTG